CATGGTGCAAGGAGAACAGAGTGAAGTCTGACAGGAAACCTGAGTTGAGCAGATGGAGCTGAAAGTCCAAGGCGTCCATGCTAGCAGGAGGAAGCAGGGCAGAATAACAGCAACGAAAGGGTTAGAGAGCTGCAGAGGGCGCCCCTCAAGTCTTCAGCCAAGTACTGATCAGGATATGAAAGTGAGGAAACTACCCAAGACCTGGGAAAGACCCAGAGGGACGCAAATAAGGAGACGGTGCCCAGCTCACACAGGACTTGGAAAACCTCTTAATTCAAGGGGCATTGGGTAGAGTACTCAGTACTCAGAAGACTTTTGCCTTAGCGGTGAGAAATACTTAGCCCTATACCAAACATGCTCTAGTCTCACCTAACAAATCTTAACAGCAAGACCAAAAAACATGAAATGGGTTCCAAGTAACTTAACTACATCCCCATAAAAGTTCAAGAATATGTACAGAAACACAAAAATATCCAGCACCTATCAAGGTGAAATTGACAATGTCTGACATCCATAATGGCTTGTAATGAAGAAAAAAATCCATCAACCCAAAGCAACCAAGAACTCATGCAGATGTTAGCATGAGCAGACAATGACATTAAGGCAATCATTATAACTGGATTTAATAAGTTCAAAACATTACCTAGAGATATGGGAAATATTTTTTTTAAAGTCAAGTTGAACTTATAGAGATGAAAAGTACAATGGCTGAGATGAAAAATATATTGAATAGGATTGAAGGCAGATTAGACATTGCAGAAGAAATGATTAGTGAATGTGAAGACAGAATAGAAACCATCCAAAATGAAACAGAAATAGAAAACATTTTAGAAATTAAAAAGCATCAGTGAGCTGTGCACACCTTCAAGGGGGCTTATATATGTGTAACTGGATTCCTCAAAGGAGATAAGGGAGAGGAAAAATATTTGAAGAAACATTAACCAGAAAATTCTTGAATTTTATAAAAACTGTAAACCCACAGACCCAAGAAGTTCAATGAACCCCAAGCACATGAAAAATGAAGAAAACTACGTAAAAGCACACCATAGTCAAATTTCTCAAAACCAGTGATTAAGAGAAAATCTTAAAAGCAACCAAAGAAAAGAGGTGAAAAGAATTCATGTTCAGGAGACCCACACTGTAATGAATATTAAAGGAAGTCCTTCAGGCAAAATAAAATTTGATCTACAAAAAGGAACAAAAAGCTCCAGACATGAGAATCACTTTGGGCACCAACTACATAAGCCAGTCTGATTTCTCAGTTGGAATGAGGACAAGAGCTGATTATAGTGAAGAGAGAAGTTCTCCAAGATTTGGATCGTTATAAATAAAGCTTTATTCATTTGAACATTTTTGTACACCAGTTTTTGTGAATTTAACACATAAATCCCCGAGGCTACAGAAAACCTGTCATTTGTGGTGAATTGTAAAAATGTTCTGCTCTGAATCTATAGTGACCGCAAGCTTCCTAGTAACAAAAGACTATCACACATCTTGAAATTCCTCCTTTTAATCAACAATTGTGGGAATAGGATGCAAGGGACTAAGATGGGCCAAATCACACAGAAAGGCAACTTCTTTCTCTAAGACTGCAACATCACACCTGGAGCTGGCACTCTGCCTCTTGTTTCTTTCCCCTGTGAAACCCCTCTCATTACTTATGTCCAGGTGGATATTCCCTTCAGGATTCTCTCTGTTGTAACATCCTGAACAAAGAACCCATTCACTTGCACAAACAAAACAAAACAAAATCTATACTCTTTCTAAAGTGAAAAATGATAGAATAAAAGAACCATTTGAATAAATTGTATAATAATTTAATATCTTTCTGTATATCATTCAATTAATTCTGAACAGTGAAATAACTTTAGCTAAGACAGTGGTTTTCCCAATTTCCTTACCACCTTGTGCAAATGTCTCAAGAGTGGACACTCTCTGTAATAACCATCCCACTGGATTCAACCTGCTTCCAGTTTGAGTTTCACTGTCTAAATTCTGTGGGCACCGAACTTTCCTGGATCTCATTCCTTTTAACTTTAAAAAATACTACTGAGGATGACACTCCTCTTCCACGAATCATCCTAATGATTGGTTAGTCTTTTAATTGTTCCATCCTTTAATCACTGTTCTGATGTGTACACTGTTCCCTGGGAGGATCAACCACTCTCAGTGTTAGGGAGCACAAACAGTCTGATGACTCACAAATATGTATGCCCCAAAGCTTCAGATAAACATACACAACCACCTTCTGAACATCTTTAAAAGGATATTCCGCGGGCATATTACATTAACACGTCCAAAACCATATTCACCCCTGACGCTTGTTTCTTTGCTTCTTTTTGTTATTTGTGCTAATGTGTAGCACAAGCATTACCAAAGATTTTCTAGTTAGAAATTTCTTAGTCATTTATGGCTACTACCCAAATTCCCAACATAAAAACGTTCTGCTAGTTTTTACACTTAAATATATCTTGAAATCATCCACTTTTCTTTATACCACTTCCCTAGTTTGTCCCTTCAACATCTTTAATGTGGACTTCACAATGGTGTTGACAAATAAAAATGGCAAGCAACAGGATATATTGGAGAATATGAGGAAGCCATTTGGTATAAACCTAATTCGGCCTGACCTTGTCTTTCCAAAAGGGCCTGACCGTGGCTGTTGAGCATGCATTGTGTATCTGCTTTAGATATTCCCTATGGCAAGAACAAAGGCCCTTGAGATAAAGGTGCAACTTCCCTCCCCTTCCAACGTTGGCATCTCCTTAAGGATTAAGCATTTTTCCTTAGGCTAGAAACTGATTGCTGCGCTCACCTGTGACTGCCCAGCTTGAGACAATAGACTTGCCTCCTGCTACGCCCTCCGAGACAGCAGACCCACTACCTGCTGTGTCCATCAAGCGCTGTGCAGACAGGGCAATCTTGTGACTATTGTGGGAGGGACATTTCAATCATATGTGAAACGTCCTGTTTGGGGGTATATAACCACTCTGTATACCTCACTTCTTTGGTGCCCTTTCTTCCTTTGGGAAGAAAGGCCCTGGGCCATGGTCCTCAGATTTAAGCTCAGAATAAACACACAAATTTTCATTTATAGATTGGTTATGGATTATTTTCCTCAACAGTGTCCTAACTGGTTTGCCAGCCCCTTTTCCCACTTTGAACCAGTCTTCTGTACAACAACCTGAGTGATGTACCACGTCATCCTCTGAGTAAAATCTTTCAGTGACTCCCCATTGCCTAAGCTTCTTAGGTTCCTTAACCTCAGCTCGCACCAGTCTTTGATATCTTTTTATGAACCAAATTCCAGATAAATGTCTTTCTGCTTTTCTGGCACATCCTGTGGTATACGACCCTAATCTCTGTTCACTCAGAGCTCTGCTGCAATAGCAATAGTAGCCCTTTCTCTGCTTTGCAATCCCTCTCTTTAGTTCAAGTTTCACCTCACACAGTAAGCTCTTCTTCACTCTCCCCCATACTCTTCTCGTTGGTGAGCTGTGCTCATGGAACCTGGTGCATATCTGTTACTGCAATTATCACAGGATGCGATGTATGTGTTTAGATGTGTATATTTACCAATCTGAGGTAAACAATCATTTTCAAATATTCATACTCAGCAATGGCGCACAGTAGTAGCTCAAAAGTATTTATTGAACTGTTGCCTATGATAATAAATGATTATCCTGAAGGTGCTCAATAAATATTTATTTAATTGGTGTCTATGGCAATAAGAGATTATCCCGAAGGAAACATTAATATAACTATTCTCTTAAATACCTATCGTATGTGTATTTGATTTAATAATTCCGTGTTGGTGAGGCAGTCATGTGGGAAGCAAGCCTATGTCTAGAACATGAACTTTTGAGAAAGAAAGGCTCTCTCATGCCTATTAGGTGTGTACACTTCAATATTAAGGTTACTTTTATCAGCAATGCTTTGCAGTCGTGCCCTCCCAGTTTAACTTGGTTTAATGACATGTTGCGATAGATTCAGTTTTCACAGTTGTATTTTCCTTCATAGAAACAAAATGATTCCCAGAGATTATTTGAGCTGCTTTTAAGTATTTGTAGATAATCAGCTAGTCTTACTCCATTATTCTTTACCACTGTGAACAACTGTGTGCATTTTTATCATCCTGGTTAGTAGTGCAATTTCTAAATCAAAGCTATTAGAATTTTATAGAATTAGAGAATTTTATAGATTGGATTCTGATTAAAGGACATTCCACCAATTAAAAACTAGTATAACTGGAGATGTCTGATTTTCCATGAAATGCATCCAAGAAATCACCAGTAGGAAAAAAGAACCCTCTCAACCTGAGTATGTAATATACATGTATTACAGATAGTTATTAAAATCACTAAAACTACATTATTTTCTCCACTGAAATAGTTTCATGAAATACTGTCTCTAGCCATGATGGCCACTGTTATGGTCATTAAAATTTCTATCAGATACTTGCAGGTACCTCTCTTAATTCAATACAAGCCTTACTTCTTTTTAAAATAAAAACAAAGAAAAATAACTTGTTTAAAGTTCTCTGACTTTGATAATCAAAGTGATAAATTATTAAAATGGCATTACCTTGAAGGGACACATTTTGCCAAAACCTATAAAATTCCATCAAGTAAAATTCAAACAGATTGAGAATTGATTAGCCTGCTTCCATTATTATAAGAACCTATGTTGTTTGTCTTCAGAGAACAAAATGAACCATGCGATTTTATAGAAATGGATTGCCTTTTCTCCAGGCAAATCATTTGAATTTCGATAGATTATTATTCAAACATATCAGTTGATAGATGTTAATTAATAAAGGAAAAGGGCATTTTCTCTTTTCTAAAGCAGCTTTTAGAACTAAAGAGAAAATTATGTGATTTTGTGATGCTCATATCACAGAATTTCTGAATATTCATATTCTAATGTTTGTTCAAGGCCTGCCTTTTACATCACGCTCATGTGCAGGAATCTATGTGCAGAAATGATTGTGCTTTTCTTACCTGAAATGAAGTGATTGGATATATGTTAACATGAGCCTCATTCCATCGTTGTCCTTTATTCCCACTTGAAGACCACAGTGGATTCTCTATCGTTGTCTGCCCTTTCAATCGTAGATAAACATTTAAAACACCTGAAAATAACAATGAAAGTTTATTTTGTATATTTGCTTTTGCTTCAAATTTGCTTCTCCTTGATCACACACTTGTAAACTTTTAAAAATGAAATTTCGCAGAACACTCTAGTGTTCCCTCCTGGCCTCTGCTCTCATTTCCAATGTTGCTCTGACATTCGGCACGTGCGGCAGGCCTCCAAAGATAATGGAGTCCCAATCCTTAGAGCCTGTGAACGTTATCTTATATGACAAAGCAGGCTCTGCACAGGTGATTAAGTTAAGGATCTTGAGATGGGGAGATCATTCTGTACTTTCTGGGTGGGTCCTAAATGTAATCACATACATCTTTATAAGACGGAGGCAGGAGATTTGATACAGAAGAGAAGAAGGTCATGTGAAAGAAAGAGAAGATGCTACACCGATGGTTTTGAAGATGGAGAAAGGAGCCACAAGCCACATATAGGCAGCCTCTAGAAGCTAGAAAAGACAAGGAAATGGATTCTCCGTTAGAGCCTTCAAAAGGAACCGGCGCTGCTGACACCTTCATTTTAGCCCCAAATACTCCTTCTGGATTTCTGTCTTCCGGAACTGCAAAGCAATATATTTGTGTTGTTTAAGTCACAAAGTTTGCAGTAACTTATCTGCTACAGTGGCAACAAGAAACTAAGATAGTATGTAATCATGTACTGACTGACCTGCTCAGTCCAACTCTACTGTGTTGTCTTATATTATCAATTAACAGCTCTTTTGCAATTTACTTTTCACCTAAGTCTCATTTCTCTTCTAAAAGAATTATTTGAAGATAAAATGAGCTTAGCTTTGTCTCATGATTTGATATATCTCTCTCAACAGTTTCATGCCCTGCTCATAGTAATAATAGCATAGTGATAATATTAATACAATATATGTTGAACACTTACTCCAGATAAGGAATTAATCCTCTCAACAATCTTGTGAAGTACCTACTATCATCCCCCATGTTATAAATAAGAAAACTTAGAGTGGTTAGGTAATTTGCCCTACGTCATACGGTAAGAAAATAGCAGAGGGAGGATTCGAGCCTAGAGAGTTTCAAAGTCTGATATCTAAATCACGAGGCAATCAGTATTTTAATAGGCAAAATTTAAAAAATCAACTTTATTGAGGTATAATTTACATACAATTAAATTCTGTCACTTTAAGTATATTGGTCAATAACTTTTGATTGATATATACTACAGTGTAAGCACCACTCGATCAAAATAGAGAACATTTCCATCTCCCCAGAAAGCTCACTCATCTTCCTTTGCAGTTAATCTTCACGGGCCCTGTTCCTATGCCCGGCAACCACTCATCTGACTTCTTTTACTGACTGATGATTTTTGCTCCTTCTGGAATTTCATATGTTTTTGTGTGTCTGGCTTCTTTCCCTCAGCATAACTTTTGTTACATTCAACTATGTTATTGTATTAGTCTTTTTAAATTTGGTATTTAGTTCATTTACATTCATTGTAGTTGTTGATATGTTTGGAATTAAGTATACCTTCTTGTCATTTGTTTCCCACTTGTCCTTACTGTTTTTTATTCCTCTGTGGCTCCCCCTCTTCCTTCTTTTCATGTGACCAAATTTTCTTTTTTTCTTTTTAGATTTCAATTTATTTTCTCTACCTATTCTTGAATCTCTCTCTTTTTATTATGTTTTAGTGGTTATTCTAGGGCTAACAAAAGGCATTCATAACTTTTCAGAGTCTAATTATAGCTAATATTTTATTCTTTATACTCGCAATTGATAAATGATAGGTCCTTCACATGTTCGACTATTACCCCTCCCCTTCTGTTTCAAACCAGATACTTCACATTCTGCGTCTCACTTCACAAAATTTGATAATCTTATGACAGCATAATTCACTTACCTGCACCCTTTGTATAGTCAATAGTAATTATATCTTTTACATTTGCTTAAATTATAAACCTCATCTTACAGCGCTATTATATTTGCATAATATACAAATTTCTATATAAAATACATTTTATATAAATTATACATATTATATATTTTTAATATAAATTTTTATTCATTTTATTTTATATAATTTTGTTTTTATAAATTATGAGAATTTTATATAAATTATTTTATATAAATATTTTATATAAATTATAAGAAAGAAAATCTAGTTTTAAACTTTTCCACTTATTTACCTTTTCTGATGGTCTTCATTTCTACCTCCAGATCTGACTTAGCATCTAGCACCATTTCCCTGTAACCTGAAGGACATCCTTTAGTACCTTATGTAGCAATGATCTGCTGGAGACAAAATTCCTCAGATTTGTTTATATAAAAATATCTTCATTTCACTCATAGTTTTTTGAGATTCAGTATTCTGCCAGGGTTTTCCCCCTGCACTTTAAAGGTGTTTTATTTTCTTGTGTACACCACTGTTTCTAATGTGAAGTCAGCCATCATTTTGTCTTTGTTCCTCTGTGTATAATATGTTTTTCTTTCTCCCTCAGGCTGCCTTTGAGAATTCCTCTTTTGCTTTGGTTTGCAGTAATTTGAGTAGAATGTGCCTAAATATGATTCTCTCTATATTTATATTTATATGGAGTTTGCTGAGCTTCTTTTAGCTTTTCCTTTATTTCTAAAAATATTTTTCTGCCTCATTATCTCTTTCCTCTACTTTCAGACTCCAATTATGCACATGTTCTGCAATTTGATATTCTTCCATGGGTTACTGAGGCTGTGTTCACTCTTCTTCAATCTTCCTCCTTTTTCTCAGATTGGAAAATTCTGTCCATCCTATTTTTTCTGCCTTCTCCTTTCCATTACTTAAGCACATCCAGTAGATTTTTAAATTTACTTTCATGTACTTTCCAGTATAATTCTTATTTGGTTCTTTTGCATAGTTTCACTTTTTCTGCTAGACTTCTCCATGTGTTTACTCATTAAGACCATATTTCCTTTGATTCTTTTAACACATTCTCTCTAATGTCATTGAACATATTTATACTACCTTCTTTAAAGCCTACCTGCTAAGTCCAATTTTCAGCCCTCTTCAGTTTAGTTTCTATGGATTGGTATTTACTTTTTCATTGATTGATTGATTTTACTTTTTTTATTGACTACGGATCACATTTCCTGTTTCTTCGTCTATCTGGTAATTTTCATTGAATAACCGGCTTTGTGGATATTACCTTATAGAGACTTCAGATCTGTAATGTTTCTCTGAAGGCAGTTTTGTTTTAGCGGACTGTGTAATAATGACTGATCATGCTGAACTCATATAGGCTTGGTTTTACACTATTGATGCAGATCTGTGAAACGCCCAAATTGTTGCCTTAGACTCTAATTTTGTGGGAATCAATCTCCAAATCTGTGTCTACTGTGGATCTTGTTGGGGTTTAGATTAAGGCTTTTTAAAGAAAGGGCTAGAAAGCACAGTTCTCCAGAGCATAATTCTAACTACCAACAGAGAGTTCTTTGGTTTTCTTCATGTAGCCAAGGGTTTTTATGACATCCCTTCACTAAGTTGGCTTAAACTTCAATATGCCCTATGGCTCCTCTCCAGGACTCTTTGACCTCTTTGTTCTGCTGTCAACTCCATAAAAGCTGCTATGTTGCTATAATCTAAGTCTTGGGTTTTCCTAGTCTTATGCAACTACAGCCCAGCCTCAGGCAAAGGCTCGTGGGGAACCCAATACAAACTTTGAGAGTCAATATTGCACACCTCCCTTTCTATTACTCTGACTCACAGATTCTAACTACTTCAGATGCCTAGTACTCTGATCTCTGCCTCCTGAGTTCAGTGGGACCTCCACTTTCTGCTTGAATTTCAGGGATCTGTGCCAAGGCCAGGAAATTGTCCTCAGGCAGAGAACCGGACTCCCATGGAGATCAGCTCATTCGTTTCACTTTTTTTCATAGATCTCAGTCTTTCCTTGCCTCTTGTCCATTTTCTTAAAACACTTACCTAATGTATTTTGATAATTTTAATAGTTGTTTATGGCAATAGGATTTATCTGGAAATAGTTATTACTCTATGGCTTCAAGACACCCTCATTTTGATATTTTTACAGGTAATCGTATGTTATTATTGCGATGTTTATACATATATATATCTCTCTCACAGATATCTTCCATATTATATATATATATTGGCTTATGTGAGTATAGCACATAAACACTGGAAAGCAGAAAACATCACATAAAAACATCATTAAATTGATCATTCAGAGGCAGCTTCCTTAAAATTTGGGTGTATGTTCTTCAGTTGTTCTTTTAAGATGTATATTTACATATTTACTGTTGTATGGTATCAAGTAGTTTATCCAGATTTTTAGAGCAATTTTATTCAATTCTTCTTTATACAGAAGACCACATGTATTTATATTATACACAAATACTTAAATATGAGTACTCAAATTTTAAACTCAGTTACAAAAAACTGCATTCTTCACATCACAGCTGTCACTTACCAGCTGGATGACCTTGGCTTGGTCTCTTGTTGCAATGCAATGCAAGTTGTTCCATGTTTTTAAAATTACCAGTAGATGCTTCAATAAATGTGAGATGCTAATGTAAACAGATGGCAGTGAATGAATTGCCATTTTATATGGAAGTCTTATTTCTCTTGGGTCACATGACCTGTTATTTTGATTGAAGTGACAGGAACCAATCTTGTCATCAAATCAATATATGGAAATTTTTGTTAAATATTAATAAAATAATACTTTTTTTAGACATATTAGTTGTACTTAGGGTATAATGTGGACTATATGCCTTCCAGAATTTACTTAAAGTAATAAATACATGCTTTAATGAAACATATTAATACACATGACTTACCATTATTGTATCAATAATGATAGATTATTATATCAATATTGAATATATTTTTTTCTCGGGGAATATGCTTTGCCTGTGATCAAGTTTACATTTTTAAATTAACATTTTCTTTTTATATACATAATATAAATTTACATTTGAATTGTTTCAATTTATATTTATTGAATGTATACCATGTGAAAAATATTTGTCCTGG